TCTCGATATATGGAGATAGCTGAAGTATTGTAATGCCAGGTTACAAATATATATGACAGCGCATGAGGAGTTAGGCCCGCGGAATAGGACTAACCCGATCTGCAATGTCAACAGGTTACACACGTGATAGATATAAACAGGTTTAAGTACTTGTATAAATCTTATTAAGTGTAGATTTTAGATACCAGTTCAATGCACGTATTTGTGGTTCCCAGATACCACATTTGTTATTTCAGGAGTTTTTAATCTGATTTTTCCGTAGGTGGATCTGGGAAAGAATGGCGTACATGGTTCCCTGGGAGGGGAAAATTAAAAGTATTGAATCTCATTTTGGATCTGTGGTTTCCTCCTACTTTATATTCTTGAGATGGGTCATTTCTGTAAACCTTATCATGGCGCTGGTCATCTTTCTCTTTGTTATGCTGCCAGGTAAACCTATTCTTTTATCCAATACAAGTTGCCTCAATTAACATTGGAATATATATCATCTTTGATTTTTTTCGTTCTTGTTCTACACTCTTAGACTTGAAAATTCCAAAATGAAATTTTCCATATTTAACACCAAGTAAAACAGGGAGCAATCCTTTAAACCCTTCCTCCTACAAACCTCCTTATCTCTCTCCTACCTGCTCCACAACTCGATGTCAAAAGAACTATTCGGAGACGCCTCTAAGTGTAGAAACAATAAACAAGAAGAAGAAAAAATAAAATTGAAGAGAAAAGAAAATGGAAGGGAATCTCTGATGTCAAGCTTTACACTGTCAATTTTATGATGGCGAATCAAGACAACATAAGAGAAGGAGCATAGAGATGTCCCCCGCCCTCTATTTATTTTACTCAAAGTAAATATTCTTAAAAACGAGTTGCTGACTATGCTGAGTATTATACAGGGGGGATGATAATTCACTACCTGTGTGCTCAGTTAGCTGTACTGTACACTTACAACAATTTACTAATAATGATATACTATAGGCTGAGCCAGAATCTCTTTATAATAAACAAATATGCAGTACTCTCTCGGTATAGTTCCTGACCCAAGGTACTAATGCAACAAAAGTTATTTTAGAGGTGTATGCATTTTTTGTACTGCAGTGTACTGTCTTTGGATGGTAATGTAAACACAAGACAGATGTCGAAGCCTGGCATGGGATCCATCTTTCACAATAAAAAATCAATGATATATTCTGGTCAAAGGAACCTGTTACGTGAATTATCAAAATTATCAAAATTAAATGCTTTTAACCTCCTCGGATACTAAACAAACACTGATGCATCTATTCTTGCTTACAAATTCCTCCCAGAGAGAAATGGTTTCAATATGTACGCAGAGTATACGCGACCGCAATTAAATTTCCATGCATTAGTTCCTTGTCCTGACCTATACAATTAGTAAAGGATTAGCGTACATCAGCACTCTATACACTATAACCTTGTTTGTAATATAACACATGTGCAAACAATAGTGTTAAGAAAAGGAAAACAAACCAGCTCAGTTCAATTCAATACAAAGTTCAGAAAAAAGCATAATTCCTCTAAAAATAGTTTTTTCTTGAAGAGTGGAGACTACAAGGATATTTAATAAAAATTCTTTTCTTATTTTTTGAAATTCACCGAAATATGATTGAAAGATATACGAACAAGAAGAAAATGAAGAACAAGAAATATAGATATCTCAAAACATTTTCATCTGATATCATATAAATTTTAAAAATATTGTAAAACTTAATTAAAATAAATTATTACAGTTAAAAAAGAATTTCTTATTTTAACATTAAACATTTATTAAATTTTTGTTTGCCTAGATTCGATTTTTACAATAAAAAGGTCTAAATGTTTATTATCTCGTCAAACTTTAGAATATAGAAAACCACACTTTAAAAACAATTTTTTTAATCAACTTCATTCATTAAAATTTGTGCATCAAAGACCAATTCAGGTCATTTAATTCTTAGGTTTTTTGGGATACATTGTAGTCTAGACTTTATGACATTAAAGCATGGAAAACTATTACATATACATACCTTTTGAAGTGAAAACAGAAACAAACAAAAATCCTTCCGTAAAAAATTTAAAAAAATAATTCTTATGAGAAAATATGTTTTAGAGATACTCTCCGGAGATACAGAAGATGCAGGGGTGAGAAAAGAAATGCTCTCTATAGAACGCAGAACAGCCTCAAACTTTAAAATACTCTGGGATTTTGAAGGTAATTAATGACTCAAATATATTGGGAACTTTTTTATCTATAAAATTGTACGAAAATTCTGCCCATAGTTTACTTACTAGACTATTGGTAAATTCAAAGATTCGCTGATTTGTTTATTAAATGCTTCTACTGGATTACCACTATTTTACAAAAAAAAATCTTCCACAGGATTGTAAAAACCATGATCTTTTCAGGCTAAAAATAGGAATAATGATTTTGATCTTTGACTCTTATTCAAACCCTCATCCAGATACTTTGCTCAAATCCAAATGAATCCAAGGAAATAAACAGGCATTTGTTGTTAAAGCTCTAGTTCCTAAGCTGACAATGAGAGAAACTAAAATATACCTTTTGAACTTATTTATCTATGATAAAGTTAATTAATTTCCAAATCAAGCCAATTTTTGCTTGAGCATTTAATTTCTTGGATGTAGATACCTGTCAGAATTAGTTCTTAATGTGAATTAACCAACATTTGGTCAAGGTCGAAAAAAAGTTTTAGCTAAACAGTGAATTTAGGTGTGATGAGATATTCTCCACTGTTCTACGGGTTCTACAGTAATAAATCTGCTACTGCCGGAGGATACGAAACTCCATTAGGCAATCAATTAATCAATCAATTAGTCAATCAATAAACTAATCCATCAAACTATTAATCAATAAATCATTTAATTGATTAATGAAATAATCAATTCGTTAATTAATTAATAGTTTAATAAAATAATTGATTAATCAATTAATCAAATTATCATTTAATCAATTAATAATCAATTTATCAATCAATCAATTAGTTAATTAATCAATACATTAATCAATTTATCAATACAACAATTAATGACACATTTAATCAATCAACTAATCAATCAATCAATCGACAACTCAGAAAATTATTCAATTAACATCTATTTTTGATTAATTCTGGTTGTATCTAGCCTATTTTGTTGTGATGATGCTAGTGTACTTATTCAATTAACACCTATTTTTGATTAATTCTGGTTGTATCTAGCCTATTTTGTTGTGATGATGCTAGTGTACGTATTCAACTAACACCTATTTTTGATTAATTCTGGTTGTATCTAGCCTATTTTGTTGTGATGATGCTAGTGTACGTATTCAATTAACACCTATTTTTGATTAATTCTGGTTGTATCTAGCCTATTTTGTTGTGATGATGCTAGTGTACGTATTCAATTAACACCTATTTTTGATTAATTCTGGTTGTATCTAGCATATTTTGTTGTGATGATGCTAATGTACGTATTCAATTAACATCTATTTCTGATTAATTCTGATTGTATCTAGCCTATTTTGTTGTGATGATGCTAGTGTACGTATTCAATTAACATCTATTTCTGATTAATTCTGGTTGTATCTAGCCTATTTTGATGTGATGGTGCTAGTGTACGTATTCCATTAACATCTATTTTTGATTAATTCTGGTTGTATCTAGCCTATTTTGTTGTGATGATGCTAGTGTACGTATTCAATTAACATCTATTTTTGATTAATTCTGATCGTATCTAGCCTATTTTGTTGTGATGATGCTAGTGTACGTATTCAGCTTTATCATAATACTCAGGAAAATGGCAGAGAACTCGAGACAAAGCAAACTTACAGATAAGGTAATGGATTTATCGAAATGAAAATTTTATTTTTAAAAATTTGAAATATTTTGGTCAACATTTAATACGTTTTAGGATCATTTCTTTATTTTTATGAATAATGATCTTTATATTTTGACGTTAATATTAAGGTTTAGGTAAATAGATACATTTTTTATAATTAACCTAGACCTAGTAAACTACATATAAGTATGGAGAAGGGATGATATCTCTTTGTTTCGCGACCAAATCTGGCCGCTTTAAATATCCTAAAGTATTAACCTAGTCATAATCTGCTATGGGGTCTGATTGGAACCAGTACTCAGATCTCTTGGGAAAAAAACTCTTGAAAATATGCAATAAATCTAACATGGATAGAATCATATTTATTTCAAACAATACAAGCATAAAAGCTCATTTTTCATATAAAAGAATTCATAACTTCTTGTGCTGTAAGCAGATCACAACAAAAGTGTAACTAACGATAAATGCCGGACACAGTAAAAATCTAAGGTAAAGTTTACAAATCAAAACTGGTCGCTGCAGTTCAGACTTCCACCCCTGGACTTCAGGGATTTCACATCTTTAGCGTGAAGAACTCAGGGGCGAGGTAATTCAGAACGTGACGATTTCGTCGCGTAATACTCTTCTTCTCCCTATTCTATATATAGTATATATATATAAACCTAGACCTAGTAAACTGTAAGCATAAAGAAGAAATGATATCTCCTCTTCTCCCTATTCTATCAAAAGTATATATATACATATTAAACTATAAGTATGGTATCTCCCAAGGTTCTAATGCAAGGAAAGTTATTGTCTCTGGGCGGTAATGTAAACACAAGACAAATGTCGAAGCCTGACATGGGATCCATCTTTCACATAAAATGAAATATTTTGGTCATAGGAAGCTATTATGTGAATTATCAAAATTATCAAAACTTAATGCTTTTACCCTCCTCGGATATTAAACGAACACTGATGCATCTATTCTTGTTTACAAATTCCGCCCAGAGAGAACTGGTTTCAGTATGTACACAGAGTATACGCAACTGCAATAAACTTTCCTTGCATTTAACCTTGGTATCTCCTCTTTTCCAATTTCTATCAACAGCATAAACCACTCTTTCCTTGAAGAAGAACAAACAAGGCTTAGTAAACATAAATATTTTACACTAAATGTATATCCTGAATAAAATCTTATTAACACTCAAATATCACAAATTTATAAAATGCAAGAACAGAAAGTATTTAAAAAAATAACGTATTTAAAAAAATTAATGTTTTATGTAACAGATGACAGTTTTTTGTACAGATACATGAGTACAAATTTATGTACAAGGTGATGAGTGTACGTTTGTCTGGAAAGTATTTATGTTCATGTACAGGGTGCAGATGAATGTACGTTTACCTGGAAAGTATACATTTTTATGTACAGGGTGATGCATGTACGTTTACCTGGAGCGTGCAAATGTTTATGTACAGGGTGATGAATGTACGTTTACCTGGAAAGTAGTCATGCTTATGTACAGGGTGATGAATGTACGTTTACCTGGAAAGTGTAAATGTTTATATACAGGGTGATGAATGTACGTTTACCTGGAAAGTATTCATGTTTATGTACAGGGTGATGAAGTGTACGTTTACCTGGAAAGTGTAAATGTTTATATACAGGGTGATGAATGTACGTTTACCTGGAAAGTATTCATGTTTATGTACAGGGTGATGAAGGTATGTTTGCCTGGAAAGTATACATGTTTATGTACAGGGTGATGAGTGTAAGTTTACTTGGAAAGTATACAAGTTTATGTACAGGGTGATGAGTGTACGTTTACCTGGAAAGTATACATGTTTATGTACAGGGTGATGAGTGTGCGTTTACCTGGAAAGTATACATGTTTATGTACAGTGTGATGAGTGTACGTTTACTTGGAAAGTATACATGTTTATGTACAAGGTGATGAGTGTACGTTTACCTGGAAAGTATACATGTTTATGCACAGGGTGATGAGTGTACGTTTACTTGGAAAGTATACATGTTTATGTACAGGGTGATGAGTGTACGTTTACCTGGAAAGTATACATGTTTATGTACAGGGTGATGAGTGTACGTTTACCTGGAAAGTATACATGTTTATGTACAGGGTGATGAGTGTACGTTTACTTGGAAAGTATACATGTTTATGTACAAGGTGATGAGTGTACGTTTACCTGGAAAGTATACAATATACATGTTTATGTACAGGGTGATGAGTGTACGTTTACCTGGAAAGTATACAATATACATGTTTATGTACAGGGTGATGAGTGTACGTTTACCTGGAAAGTATACATGTTTATGTACAGGGTGATGAGTGTACGTTTACCTGGAAAGTATTTACCTCCTGGGACTATGGTATAGCTAACCCTGAAGCTGCACACAACAAGGTTGCTGCAATTGTTACAGGAATAAGGTAAATACAGGTTGTCCCACTGGACACTGGATAGTTTAGAAACAATTACAAAATATTTTTAATCTTTGATTGTTATATAATGAAATAGATTTGTATACAAGTAATAACTTCTGTTTTTACCAAATTTAGATTAAGAAAGTTTACAAGAACACAAACCCTTTTGTTTAATTGGACTCAACCACTATATTAACATCGCTTATAGAAGTAGCTTGGCATGGCAACTATATAAAAGATGTTCTTCCGTTTTATCCTCTATGGACATAAATATGTTTATTTTGTAACGGCTACCAAGGGCGGATACAAGGGGGGGGGGGGCGTTTTAAAAATGATTGGGTTTAAATGATTTTTTTTGTATTTGAGAAGTTTTTACTTTTCCCTTCTTTTTTTAAATTAATGATTCTAATAAACAATCGTACAGCAAAAAGTAACATGAAGACAAATTTAAATTAAATATAAAATCGGAGCAGGTTTAGGAGAAGCTATTTGTACTCATCTATGCATCTTATACCTCCAGTTTTTTTGTTTTGATGCATAATTCAAAACAGGCAAAACATCTATCTTAATAAACTAGAATGTGTGATACATAGAGAAAGGAAACGAAGAGGTAGGGCTTACCTCAGATGTACACGGTGCTATGAAAACGCGTCACCACGGAAATGCCTATAAAGTAGTTTTTTTTTTACTTTTTTCAGCGATTTCTGTGAGAAATACGGAAATTTTGAGGTGTTTCTTAAAATATTTGAGCCGTGTCCGCTTTTTAGCTGACAAATATTTTTCAGGCATTTCTCAATATTTTTCAGGGATTTCCCAATATTTTTTGAGGAATTTCCCAATATTTTTTAGGCGTTTCCGCAAAATTTTTGAGGGGTTTTCGTATTTTTAAAAAGTCTATTTAGTGACCCTAATCTGAAGTACTGATGAGAACATTCATAGATTGTCAAAATATACAGGGTGTCCCACGAAACATGACAGTTGGTAAATAGTTTAAAATGTCTTCTTCTATAATTTGTTAAGTTGTTTGATACCGAAGATGATGATAAGAAATACTAAATGGCAGTAATATTATAGTAAAATTGATTTCAAACAAATAGTTATTTGAGTAAAAGATTTGTTTAACGAAGTTAAACTGCAAAAAGTCTTTAAAAACTAATACAGTATCATGGAAGAAGACATTAAAAACTATTCACCAACTGTCATGTTTCGTGGGACACCCTGTAGTTACTGAAAAGTGGTCTCCATCGTCACCAACTTCATCCATTTAAGTAGCGTTTTTCAAGGTACACCTTCTAAACTCTTAAACTGTTTCGCAGTTTATTTGAATCCGAGTGTTTTTCTCCTATTTTATATTTTGTATTTGACAAATTAACATGGATGGGATGAAAGGTTAAGATGAAGGTTGGTAAGGAACAGAGGGTTGAACAGAACTTTTGATAGATATTTTCAATTTAGCTTTGACACATTTTATATTTCTGGAACACTCACTTCTCTTGTTTATTTTAATTTCATCCATACCAACCTTTAATATTCAATAATCTTACGATCCTTGATCCATGATCCTTGAACATTGATCCTTGATTCCTGATCCTTGATCCCTAATCCTTGATCCCTGATCCTTGATCCCTGGTCCTTGATCCCTGATCCTTGATCCCTGATCCTTGATCCCTGATCCCTGATCCTTGATTCCTGATCCTAGATTTTTGATCATTGATCATTGTAAAAACCACGGAGAGTTTAATATAGTTGACAGAGAAGAAACGGATCCAGCTGAAGAACTGGAAGGATATTGATCAATGAAAAATGTATTTTAGGGAGAGTAATAGAGCTAACAGAGAAGGAATGGAACCAGCTGAAGAACTGGAAGGATATTGATCAGTGATTAATGTATATCTAGGGAGAGTATTATAGAGCTAACAGAGAAGGAACGGATCCAGCTGAAGAACTAGAAGGATATTGATCAATGATTAATGTATATCTAGGGAGAGTATAATAGAGCTGACTGAGAAGGAACGGATCCAGCTGAAGAACTGGAAGGATATAGGGAAACGAGTTGCAGCAAATATACTAGTTCTACTCAGGTAAATGCTAAAAGAATTTTACATTGATAATTATTTTAAAACTCTTGCATCTTAAACCTCTGACAATATGCTAGCTCAGACGGTTTCGATCGTACAACATGAGACGTTGGGTACCTCATTTGTCTCCAATATAGACAACTTTCTCCGATTGAGCACGTTAAAATCCCATTTTTCATATTGTTCATTGGATATCGGGTTCATTCTATCATAGACAACTAACTCAATTATCGAGAGCACGAATAAAAGTGTGTGGAATAACGACGATGTAAAAGTTGTCACTAAATTAACATGTTTTTTGGGAGACCCTGTATATAGAATCAGAAAAGACTACCATCAGAAGATTTCAAAATATCTATACTACTTAAGCATTGAACATTGAAAAATATGAATTATTTAAGTCTGGTTGGGAGCGCATCATGTGTTCTTCTGGTAGTAGATCGGTCAACCCAGCCAGAAGCTGACTCATCTTGGTGGAGACAGAATGAAACTACTATAGGTAAACTCCATCTAGGGGAGATTAAACCAAACTACAATAGGTAAACTCCACCTAGTGGAGATTAAACCAAACTACTATAGGTAGACTCCATCTGGTGGAGATAAAACCAAACTACTATAGGTAAACTCCATCTAGTGGAAATCAAACCAAACTGCTATAGGTAAACTCCACCTAGTGGAGATTAAACCAAACTGATATAGATAAACTCCACCTAGTGGAGATTAAACCAAAGTACAATAGGTAAACTCCAAGTGGTGGAGATTAAACCAAAGTACAATAGGTAAACTCCATCTATAGTGGAGATTAAACCAAACTACAATAGGTAAACTCCATGTGGTGGAGATTAAACCAAAGTACAATAGGTAAACTCTATCTATAGTGGAGATTAAACCAAACTGATATAGGTAAACTCCACCTAGTGGAGATTAAACCAAATTACAATAGGTAAACTCCAAGTGGTGGAGATTAAACCAAAGTACAATAGGTAAACTCCATCTAAAGTGGAGATTAAACCAAACTGATATAGGTAAACTCCACAAACCAAAGTACAATAGGTAAACTCCATCTATAGTGGAGATTAAACCAAACTACAATAGGTAAACTCCATGTGGTGGAGATTAAACCAAAGTATAAAAAGTAGAAGAAGATTTAGTACTACAAACAGAAGAATGTGCCTTGATTGTAGTTTTTTACAGTAAAAAATGTCTAATTGTATTTGTATCTGGTAATTAAGAAAGTTCTTAAATTTTTTCAAAGCTTTGTTTTTCTTTTTCTGAGTTCAAAGAACTTAACTTTTTTTCTATTTGTATAAAGTTGTTAATTTTATATTTCTATCTCTGCACACTTGTGAATTAATATATATTCTGTGTTTTTTCTTCTTTTTGCTAAAAAATAGATTAGCATTGTCAAGTCATTTAACGTTCATAACAATTCACAATGATCTCATAGGAGATAATTCATTTAGTCACTGATCCGTTTTACCATCTGTAGTGTACTATCTGTATATGTACTGTACAACTTGCCCCAGCTTCCTATAAGACGATACGGTACTTCAAATAAACCGGGTGGTTTACAATGCATTGCAGATTTTAAGAAATTTAATACCTATTTATGACATTGTAATGTGTATTATTAAGTGCGAACAAGTTTTTGCCGAGATTTTTAATACGTTCGGTGTGAAAATAGTTTCATTTTGATCTTAAACAAACTAGAAAAATTAAAAGTCACAGCAAAAACTTTTTCCCACGCATGATACCCATTTCAATAACATATATAGTTTTATTCAGTTATACTCAAATTATTTAAAAGCAGGTCGATAAAGTTACTTAATCACCATGTTGTAGGGTGATTAAGTAACTTTATCACCCTACAATGAGACAAAATAGGAATGAAATTTGAAATTTTAATAGCAGGGTGAAAAAGTTACTTTTTCGCCCTGTTGTAGGGCGATAAAGTCACTTAATCACCCTACAACGGGAAATATTAGGTGTGATAAATTCCATTAAATTGAATAAAAAAAAATATTTTTAAAATTTCAGTCATGTCTCTGATTACCAGTTTATTTCAGTCATGTCTCAGATTACCAGTTTATTTCAGTCATGTCTCTGATTACCAGTTTATTTCAGTCATGTCTCTGATTGCCAGTTTATTTCAGTCATGTCTCTGATTACCAGTTTATTTCAGTCATGTCTCTGATTACCAGTTTATTTCAGGTCATGTCTCTGATGACCAGTTTATTTCAGTCATGTCTCTGATTACCAGTTTATTTCAGTCATGTCTCTGATTACCAGTTTATTTCAGTCATGTCTCTGATTACCAGTTTATTTCAGTCATGTCTCTGATTACTAGTTTATTTTAGTCATGTCTCTGATTACCAGTTTATTTCAGTCATGTCTCTGATTACCAGTTTATTTCAGTCATGTCTCTGATTACTAGTTTATTTCAGTCATGTGTCTGATTACTAGTTTATTTTAGTCATGTCTCTGATTACCAGTTTATTTCAGCCATGTCTCTGATTACTAGTTTATTTCAGTCATGTCTCTGATTACCAGTTTAGTTCCAAAGCTGTTTGATCTCTTCAGTATATTAGGCAGGGCAGCGGTCACGAAATAATTTGAAAAAAATTCATAATTCTTATATCTTTTGCTAGAATACAATCAATAAGCTAATAAAGGAAAGAAATAACAAACAAAAAATTAAAAGAAAGGAGAAAGGCGAAAACCCCAAATCTGCAAACAATTGGTTAAGAAACTAATAATCCAATAATAATAAACCCAATTTTCTAATCCCAAATTTTTCAGGAAATAAATAAAAATTCACCAAAAAGAAGCATTTTTCCATTGATAAGGTTTTTTCTCTTTTTCTTTCGGATCCTATCCCCGATCCTACACCCTGGATCCTATCCCCGATCCTACCCCCTGGATCCTATCCCTGATCCTACCCCCTGGATCCTATCCCCGATCCCACCCCTGGACAATTCGCAAATATACGCTTTTTATAATGTAAGGATTGGAAAATTAGGTATTAAGGCAAGTGTTTAGTTTCTTTTCATATTCTTTGCGACGTTTGTAATTTTATGCATTTCTGAAGGGTCCAAAGGTTCAAAAATTATAAATGGTATGAAGAAGATAAGGAATAAGAATGATAACTCCGGATGAAAAGGGTTCAGAGCTTAATATGAACCTTATTTAAAAATGTTAACACACTCCTCATGAAACTAAGTGAGTGAAATAGGTCACATATGCCTATGATAGGCCGGGTACTTTAAAAAGTCTGGCCACGCCAAATTGAAAGTGAAACCAAGCTGGCACAGAATAGGTCGGGTCGGTACTTGCTGTGCATCACTAAAGCCGGTACAAGGGGTCGATCCGGTTCGAATTAAAATTGAACTTAGTCCACCGTGACTCCCTGGTTTACCAGAGAACTATCATCCTCGGAAAGCCATGAGATGGATGCTGGCCAGGATCATGGCGCTCAACCTTCTCTCCCTCTACGCCCTCATCTTCGCCTTGTTCGGCAAAACGAACGATATGATCCGTCAGCTCAACAGCTTTGAGATGATGAATGATTCATCTTTAGGTAACCTATAAAGTTGTAATCTTTGTTATTTCGTCTTTTTGCTTGTCTGTCCGATCATAACTCATAAACCCCTAGACCGATTTGCCTCAACTTTTGATTGGGGAACTCGGAAGGGCCACGGGAACGTTTTACGACCAAGTTGAGGTTAACGTTGTAAGTAACTATAGAGTAACCAGGGCAACGCTGAGCTTCCAAGCTAGTAAATAAATAATGTTCAAATCTAAGAATTTTATATATAAAAGTGTTTAATGGCAAAATATGAGTCTTGGAAAATTATCCATGGAAATCTGTGTTTGTCTGTCTGTTTGTTTTTAAATTATAACTCTTTAACCAATTGATCGATTTCTATAAAATGTTGGGTACTTGGTAGAGCCATGGGAATGTTTTTAGCTTGCTTAAAAAGATCGAAGCTTAGTGGGTTGACTTGTATAAGACAAGTTTGAAGGCCAGGCTGGTGTCCCAAGCTAGTTCTTTATAATGTAGAATCTTAGTTATAATAATTCTTTATTTAAACAATCACATTTCGGGTCCGTCCTAGTATACGATTTTTGGACCCCCNTTATTATTTTAGGGTTAGACAATTTCCGGGCCGAGCGCTGCGGCCAGGAAGCGCCTTCAATTTCAACAATTTTCAACAAAATTAGTATATGTTTAAGTTTAGGTTTGGTTAAGACACTTTCTGAGCCGAGCGCTGGGGCGGACAGGCTAGGGGACCAAGTGCTGCGGCTAGGACAGGCTAGGGGGCCGGGCGCTGAGGCCAAATGGTCAATTATAACCATGTCTTACATATATAAGATCCGGGGGGGGGGTCAAAAGATTTCCTAGCATAATGTCTAATTCATACTTTCAGTTTATGAAACAGATATTTTAAATTTTGTTTTAGTAAATGGAAAACAGGTTGTATTAGCTCCTGCTGATGATAGAGATTGCTTCTTCATCCCGATACCTTGCTCCTTACTCCAGGGTTTCTTGGAACCTGAAGATACAATCTCTCTACAATATAGGATAAGGTAAAGAGTATCCTGTAATTCCTGCTCCTTTCTCCAGGGTTTAATGGAACCTGAAGATACAATCTCTCTCCAATATAGGATAAGGTATAGAGTATCCTGTAATTCCTGCTCCTTACTCCAGGGTTTAATGGAACCTGAAGATACAATCTCTCTCCAATATAGAATAAGGTAAAAACTTTCTTTTAAATCCTGCTCTTTACTCCCATGGTGTCCTGAAATCAAAAGATACCATATATATCCAGTAAAGAATAAGGAATAGATTTAGTCCTATATCATGCTCTTTTTTCCAAGGTATTCTATAAATTAATATTGATACCATCTCTCTACAGGATAGAATAAGGTATAGAGTATACTGAATATCATGCTCTTTTCTCCAAGGTGTCCTATAAACCAATATTGATACCATTGTGGCGCCCCTGGATTCCTGGAAGCAGTACACAGCATATTCCATACTTCACATGTTATTGTTTAGATTATGATATACTGCATCTAGTATAAATACTGTTTTTTATAAATATATATTCAGTCAGTTTATTTGGTTTTATTCATTTGGTCTTATTCCTTTTGTCGCTACATTGTGGGTGACCCTGACGTGATTCTTTTGTCGGAATTAAATCCTCTCGTTGAAGTGCCCAAAATTGGTTTCTACCAAGTCCCTGCTCTTTTCATACTCAAACACCAAAGTAAGGTTCCGACGATAGAGTGTTCTTTTTCAGCGTAGTAGCGATGTCGACCAATAATGAGGTATCTTCACCCCCTGATGGTCAGTTATCCCTCACCACGGTATCCATCAAGCTTCCCACCTTCTGGACGGACTCCCCCGAGGTGTGGTTCCTCCAGGCTGAGGCCCAGTTTGCGATCAAGCGAGTGATGACTTCTCTAACCAAGTTTCACCACTGTGTTGCAGCCCTTCCCCAGGACGTTGCCACTCGCCTCTTAGATCTGATCCGTAATCCAACTTCAGATCCCTATGCAACCCTGAGAACCCGCCTTATCCAGATGTACACTCTCAGTAATTTCCAGAGGTATCAGGCTCTCCAGAGTATCCCGGTTCTGACTGATCAAAGACCCTCAGAACTCATGGATAAAATGTTAGTACTCCTCCCTGAAGATGAGAAACCTGGTTTCTTTTTCTTAGGCCTGTACGTTTATGGATCGTCTCCCTGCAGATATTCGTTCCCATCTACTGATGGAATCGATTGCTGACCCTAGATGGATGGCTACCAGAGCAGAAAAACTATGGACCGTTGGTGGAAGAGTTAATGCCGTCCATGCAGTTTTGTCTCAAGACTACAGACCGATGGAGGATGTATCACTGGTATCTCGAAGCTCCAGAACCAGGTCCTCTTCTAGTCGCCCTAGATCCAGCAGTCCAGGGCAACTACATCCTCATCTACCTCCTCAGAGTGCTGGTATCATCGCAAGTGGGGAAACCAGGCTAACCAGTGCAGGTCGCCATGTTCTTTTTCGGGAAACTAGTTAACGGCGGGGGATGTTGTAAACATGGTTCCCGCCGAAACCCACTCCTCACCCCTTTTATTCCTCAAGAACAAGCTCAGCTCCGCCACGTTCCTCGTTGATACTGGTGCTTCTGTGTCAGTGTTCCCTCACCTTCCCCGATCATCTTCAGCTCCAGGTTCTGGTGTTCAGTTGAGAACCGCCGATGGATCCCCCATGGACACTTATGGTTCCTTCTGTTTAGCTCTACAGTTCGGTTCCAGACGTTTTGAGTGGAATATTTTGCTAGCCAACGTGTCCACGCAGATTGTGGGATCAGATTTTCTACGCCGCAATCACCTCCTGGTTGACGTCGCAGGTTCTCGTCTCCTTGACTCCTCAACCCTGGAACCAATACCCGCCGTTTCATCTAATTCAGTCAACAGCAAATCAGGTCTCTATGCTGCTCTCCTTTCTACCCCTGAAGAGTTCCGTGATCTCCTGTCCGAATATCCTGATGTCATCTCCTCCAAAGGTTTTTTTCACCACAGATCCAAGGCATCCAGTCCGCCACACCGTCCCCACATCGCCTGGCCCGCCAGTTTTTGCCAAAGCCCGCCTTCTTGACGCAGAAAAGCTGGAATCCGCAAGGAAGGAGTTTGCGGCCATGGAGTCTGCAGGGATAATCTTCCTCTCCGTGGGCGAGTCCCTTGCACATGGTAAAGAAGCCTGATGGTTCCTGGAGACCTTGCGGCGATTACCGCCGCCTGAATACTCAAACCGTTCCTGATAGATATCCCCTTCCTAATATTGCAGATTTCTCATCTCGACTTCATGGTTCCAAGGTATTCACTAAGCTGGACCTAACCAAGGGGTATTATCAAGTTCCAATGGCTCCTGGAGATGTGCCTAAGACTGCGGTGATCACCCCCTATGGCCTGTTCGAATGGTTGAGGATGTCGTTTGGTCTTAGAAACAGCAGATGCACCTTCCAAAGATTGATGAATCAGATTTTTCAAGGACTTCCTTACTGTTTTGTATGTGTGGATGACGTCCTAATCTCCAGCCCCGACCTCAGCTCTCACCTTGATTATGTTCAGACCATGCTTGATCTTCTCCGACTCCATGGACTCAGTATCAACCCTGACAAGTGTGTTTTTGCAGCTCCTGCAGTGGACTTCCTTGGTATGAGGGTTTCAGGTTCAGGATATATTCCCCTGACGAAGCACACCGAGATTATCTCCACCTTCCCTCGTCCAACAGACAAGAAGGGTTTACAGAGGTTTCTAGGGATACTCAATTTCTACAGAAGATTTATCAAGGCTGCAGCTGGTCTCCTACGTCCTTTAACTGAGGCTCTCAAAGGTAAATCTTCAACTCTAACCTGGGACCTAGAGATGAACCAATTGTCAACAGAGCAAGATTCAAACCCACATCAAGTCTCCCAACCAACCTATACCTGTTCCTGGACGGAGGTTTTCTCATCTCCATGTAGATCTAGTTGGCCCCTTACCTCAATCCTCTGGGTTTAAGTTTGTGGACAGAACAAGTGGATGGCCGGAAGCAATACCTCTCCAATCCACAACAGCAGAGGAATGTGCCAAGGTTTTACTCCAATCCTGGATTCCAACTAAGAACAGTTTCACAGTCCTTCCTCATCATTCTACAGTTCCGTCCCTGAAACCAGATGATATTCCTCCCAGTTTAGTTTCCTGTTCTCATGTGTTCATCAGAGAAGATACATCTAAGCCTCCGTTGTCTCCGCTTTACAAAGGACCTTATCTAGTGCTTTCCAAGTATTTTCAAGTCCAGATTGGTTCTAAATCCGACTCCATCTCCATGGACCGGCTCAAACCTGTTCTTTCTGATCGTCCTCTGGTTCCACAGTTGCCTCCCCGACGTGGAAAACCTCCATTGGCTCCGGCTCCGTTGGCTCCGGCTCTGTTGGCTCCGGCTCCGTTGGCTCCGGCTCCGTTGGCTCTGGCTCCGTTGGCTCCGGCTCCGTTGGCTCTGGCTCCCTCACCTCCAGCTCTGTTGGCTCCAACCTCTCCAGCACCTCTCCAGAGAGCCCAGAGAATGAAGAAGAGAGTTAGATTCTCACCTCAACAGCCTTCTCCTCTCCCAGTTCGACGGAACCCTCGAAGAGAAGTCCGAGATAAACATCGAGCTCTTCATCAACTGCATCTCCTCGATGCTGGGGGGACCCCTGTGGCGCCCCTGGATTCCTGGAATGCAGTACACAGCATATTCCATACTTCACATGTTATTGTTTAGATTATGACTGCATCTAGTATAAATACTGTTTTTGATAAATATATATTCAGTCAGTTTATTTGGTCTTATTCATTTGGTTTTATTCATCTGGTCTTATTCCTTTCGTCGCTACACCATCTCTCTACAGGATAGAATAAGGTATAGAGTATACTGAATAGCATGCTCTTTTCTCAAAAGTATTCTATAAACCAATATTGATACCATCTCTCTACAGGATAGAATAAGGTATAGGATATACTGAATATCATGCTCTTTTCTCCAAGGTGTCCTATAAACCAATATTGATACCATCTCTCTACAGGATAGAATAAGGTATAGAGTATACTGAATATCATGCTCTTTTCTCCAAGGTGTCCTATAAACCAATATTGATACCATCTCGCTACAGGATAGAATAAGGTAAAGAATATACTGAATATCATGCTCTTTTCCCCATGGTATTCTATAAACCAAAATTGATACCATCTCGTGTACAGGATAGAATAAGGTATAGAGTATACTGAATATCATGCTCTTTTCTCCAAGGTATCCTATAAACCAATATTGATACCATCTCTCTACATAGAATAAGGTATATAGTATCCTATAAATCCTGTTTTTACTCCAGGGCTTCCTGCTAAAAGTGAATACCCTCTCTACAGTGTAGAATACGGTAAAGAGTTTCCTATATCCCAAAATGCAAGAGGATCCTGTATCTAGCATGCTCTTTTCTCACGGGTATCATAGTACAGGAGAATATAGTATAGAATAAGGTATAGACCAGGGTATCCAAGAAACAAGAAAGTATCGTCTTTTGTAACCAAACAGATTTTTTTTCAGTCGAGAAAATACAACACTAGATACTCCACTGGACCCCTCCCAACCAAGCACTCAGTCCTACCCGGATTTCAACATTGAGATAAAAGATCTCTCCTCCGAAGACGGGTTGAGGAAGGACATGGAGCTAAATGCTAGAGCTGTTCTCTCAGAACTAATTAGGTATTATTATTTTTGTAGTTTGATAAATCATCTATGAAATACTTTGCTTGCCTTGGTGTTTTGTTTATTTGTTCCTTTGTATCCAGTACACGTCAAAACTACCATCCTGATCAGGCTCAACTTTGTTGTGACAACTTACATGACCCAAGGGAAGGTTTATAAAAGGTCAAAGGAACTGAGTCTTTGCCACAAACTCCAATTTTCTAATACCTATATCTCTGCAACCAGATGATGTAAACCTTTGATATTTCAACTTGGATTATTTGATCCATCAGAATTCATAGTTTGAATTTGAAATATCTAAGGTCTACGACATTGGGTTGCAATGATATAGGGATTAAAAAATCACAATATCGTTTTATCCCAATTTCGTAGACCTTAATATTGCAAACTATGAATTCTGTTAGATCAAATAATTATGTTTGAAATTTCCAAGGTTTACACCATCCGGTTATAGCTTATAGAGATTAGAAAATTGGAGTTTGTGGCAAAAACTCAATTCTTTTATCCTGAAAAACTGTCGACATTTATAATTTTAGAAAATCCACTAATTAAGGTTTCAGAAAAATCCACGAAAATTTTTAACTTTTAAACTTTTAAAGAGCGAAAGTTAAGCCAAAATGTTTAAAAGAAAAAGGACAGAAACCTTCCTGAAAGCCTAGTTGTTAGTATATTTCTATATATATAGATAGTTAATTTAATTTTAGAAATATATCCAAAGAAATGATAAATCGTGAAAAAGCTGCGAGACTATTAATGGTCTGGAGAGAGGTTCAATCTGGAGGCAAACTCAGGGTACAGGATACAGCTAATATTACAGGTATAAACTTAGAGTGGTCTGTACTCTGTAGTGTACATCTGATGTGATTATGACTATAATGTAACTATAATAAAATATGATATAAAAAATATATATTAGGGGATTGTACTCGGGATGAATGTATAATCTACTGTGAACCTTCCTGCCTATCTCTTTGTGAGATATTCTTCTCATGTGGCGGAGAGGATTCTCTTCAGGACCTTGAGATTCAAACCATTAGAGATTTATCTCAAGCTCTAGGTTCAATATCATATGTAGACACTTTAAATTCTCAAGAAGGGGATGATTCATTTGGTATACTTGCACTAGTTGACTAAAAGATGCTTCAATACTTAATAAAAATTTCAGAATAAAGAGATATAAACTGTCCTTGATATATCTCAAGTTCTAGGTTTCATATCATATATAGAGATAAATCTCTTCAGGATACAGAGATATGAACTATCCTTGATATATCTCAAGTTCTAGGTTTCATATATATATATGTATATACTTTGGTTGTTTGGGTGTCTGTCTGTTTGTTTCTTTGATATATCCAATAAACGTCAAAACGGCTGAACAGACGGGCCCAAATTTTGTGTGGGACCTCACGTGGCCCCAGAGAGGGTTTATTGATGATCAAAAATTCAAAAATATTCCTAAATCAAAATTCGATTATCATTTTATTTTTGAAAATTTTGAAAGTTATATTTTTGAAGATTTTAAAATCCACAAAAAATTTTTTAAATCAACGAACTTTGTTTGTTTTACAAAGAGAACATATTTACTATTGAAATAGAAGTTTGACACGAAGCGCCCTAAAAAAACCCCAATTTTTTTTAAAGAATGAATTAATCTGCTTCTTTTTTGCTACGAGATAAACTCATTCTTTTTTGCTGCAATGTTGAACTCCGTTCCGGTTATATCTAGATCTGGTTCATTTTTTCTTTTTATATCCTGAAACATATCTTGTATAGTGTGCATTGCTTGAGATTTATTGTTTCCCTTTATGAAATAAGCCTTATTTATGCCACAAATGCATGGTATACAGCTCATACAGTAGCATATATATAGACTATTCAAAACTTGAACAGTAAGAACTAGAAAAAGAGTTTTCACGTTCTTTTTTAAACGATGTTAAACTGTACCATCGTAAATCGTAAATGGTGCTCTTAAAATTTTTAAGTACCTTTAACTAAACCTAGAAATACGTTACACTTTACTGTCTCTTTAAATTAATCTAGGAATACGTTACACTTTACTGTCTCTTTAAATTAATCTAGGAATACATTACACTTTACCGTCCCTTTAAATTAGTCTAGGAATATGGTACACTTTACCGTCTCTTTCACTAAACCAAGAAATACGTTACACTTTATCGTTTCTTTAAATTAACCTAGAAATACGTCTACACTTTATGGTCCCTTTAACTTAACCTAGAAATACGTTTACACGTTATGGTCCCTTTAACTTAACCTAGAAATACGTTTACACTTAATTTATGGTCCATTTAACTTAACCTAGAAATACGCTTGCACTTACCGTCCCTTTAACTAAACCTAGAAATACATTACACTTTATCGTCTCTTTAAATTAATCTAGGAATACATTACACTTTACCGTCTCTTTAAATTAATCAAGGAATACGTTACAATTTACCGTCTCTTTAAATTAATCTAGGAATACATTACACTTTACAGTCCCTTTAAATTAATCTAAGAATATGTTACACTTTATCGTCTCTTTAAATTAATCTAGGAATACGTTACACTTTACAGTCTCTTTAAATTAATCTAGGAATATGTTACACTTTACAGTCCCTTTAAATTAATCTTGGAATACGTTACACTTTACCGTCTCTTTAAATTAATCTAGGAATACGTTACACTTTACCGTCTCTTTAAATTAACCTAGGAATACGTTACACTATACAGTCCCTTTAAATTAATCTAAGAATACTTTACAATTTACCGTCTCTTTAAATTAATCTAGGAATACGTTACACTTTATCGTCTCTTTAATTTAATCATAGGAATGCGTTACACTTTACAGTCCATTTAAATTAATCTAGGAATACGTTACACTTTATCGTCTCTTCAAATTAATTATAGGAATACGTTATACTTAACAGTCCCTTTAAATTAATCTAAATACGTTACACTTTACAGTCTCTTTAAATTAATTTAGGAATACGTTACACTTTACAGTCCCTTTAAATTAATCTAGGAATACGTTACTCTTTACAGTCCCTTTAAATTAATCTAAGAATGGGTTACACTTTACCGTCTCTTTAAATTAATCTAGTAATACGTTACACTTTACAGTCCCTTTAAATTAATCTAGAAATACGTTACATTTTACCGTCCCTACCCTTTAAATAAATTTAGAAAAACTTTAAACATTACAGTACCTTTTAATTCAATCCAAAGTACAGCTTTTATCTGGATCACGTGGATCTAACGGTTCTGTCAATATTTCAATCACAATTAGACCCATTAAACATATTTATTTTTGCATTTTTTTCTTTTATACTTTTTTGTTGGCATATGCATTTTGAATGAAAAAGTATAGAATAAACAAATCCGAACGTTTAAAAGATTCTTGAATTATAGAACAAAACACGTTTGATTTTAAATAGAAGGGATAGTTAGTCCGGGGTGTGGTGGCCGGGGGATATTAAAAAGCTTTAAAAAAACAAAGATTTTAAATGCTTTTAGCGCCAAAATACAAGTTTGGTTTGGTAAAGAATTTTACAATAAAAAACACGATACAAATACAAGGCTATCAATCATGGACCTGCAACTCATAACCCACAATATATGGGACTTTTATCATATTCATAACATTCTAACCAATTTTATATATATACATGTGTGTAAAATCTGAATCTGAATCAAAGATATATCATCAATATCATAATATTTACATTATTTGGAATCATTTCTTTCGAATATATTTGCTCAGCCGACATCATTACAATATGGAAAATATAAGAATTTATTTACCCGCATTCCATATAGGAGATATAGGGATACATATATATTTCATGGCGGATATAAATTGAGGTTTTATATTCCCTTCTAGAAATATATATCTTTCTATCTGTCTATCGTTCTTTCTTGCTGCATGGGGATATGTTGAAATTCACAGCTCATTTGGGCTTCTTTTCCCATACAAATCTTTCAAAAAATATGTTTTAACTCATACTATCTTCAAACTCAAATCTGATATTCCTGAAATCTTTTCAATCTGATATTTCAAGTTAAAAATGCTGCTGGATTAAGCAGTCAATTCGTTTTAAATATCCATGGTTTTCACCATCAGCTTGCATAGATATGGGGATTAAAACATTGAGTTTAAGCCAAGAAACCAGTTTCTTTGAATTTTTGTTCCTATCTTTTTTAACAATAGTTTTTTTTAATTTTAGTGTTTCAATTAAAATGAATTTTAGCGTGAAAGCCTTTGTACTTTTGGATTCACTGTGTTTGCAATTGCATGCATAAAGTTATTGTAAACAAATGTTATTTGTAGAAATATGATATATGAAAATCAGGAATAGTTTCATCTTTGCAAAACCTAACTCTGAACAGGAACACATTCATAAAAATAATCTAGAGAAAACTAAAAAATTTCTTGTTTGATGACAATTCAAAGATGTCTATAGTTTAATCCATAATTATCATAAATAATTTTTTTTACATTTTTATGAGACATTAAAAATAAAATATTTGCCGAAGCATTGTGATATGAATATTTAAATGTCATCATGTCACTTTTTATATTAAATATATTTGCAAAACTGCAGGTTTTCTAGTTTCTGAATTTGCACTGAGTTGGATTTTGCCAACACTGAGAAAAACTGACAGTGTGACAATCCAATACCAAAATGGAAATAGAAAAGTAAACAATGAATCCGCCATTTTGAATTAAAGATGTCGTCTTCATAAATTGATTATTTACAATTTTCTGTCAAACTTATTTTAACTTATTCACAACATATTCATTTTTCTGGTAGCTTTTTTAAAGGTACTGTAAGCGTTACCCTTCATGCAAAGATTGAAATGCCCGATTCACAACGGTACCCTCGAAACCTTTGTCTGAATAATGATGTGGAAGATGTTGTCGTTTTTCTAGATTTTCTAAATTGAAAAGTGTTTGAATCTGATATTTTATATTTGTATTCTTAGAGTAGAAATGCACAATTTAAACTTTAGACGAGAACCTACGGTTTAAAATAATAAGTATTTTAAATTATAAACATTGATATCTAATCATCTTGATATCTTGATCAGACAGTCTTCATTGCAGCCAGGGCCACTTGGAATTACGCTCACAGTCCCTTTTAATAAAAGATTAGCTTAAAACTATGTTGACAACTATGTGATTTGATTGAATGTGTAAACTGCTCAGTTTGAATGAAGAAGAGGTGAAATTCTTTGTTTGCTTGGATTGTTTATCCTTTAAGCTTCTCACAAACAACGTAACTCAAAACTACAGTCTTCTAGGTCAGACATTGTAAACATTTATCTTATTTTTTTTATTTCAGTCGAAAAAACAACTTGGCTAAGAAACCTTTTTTACAAAGATTGTTGGATCTTTCGTTTCTAATTTGAAACGAAATTTGTTTCAAAAGTGACGTACAAGTTTACATTTTGTGGTATAAAGGAAGGGAGTCTTTGCCACAAACTCTGATGTTTTAATCCCCCGTATCTTTGCATCCCAATATCGAAGATCTTAGATATTTTAAACTATGAATTCTGTTAAATAAAATATACAAAGGTTAATACCAACAGGTTGCAAAGATATAGAGATTAAAGAAATTTGTGGCCATGACTCAATTCCGTTGCACTGTTAGAGCATGGAGGTAAAGTGTCATGTTTACAACTACAAGACTAAAGAGTTTATAATGAACCCCTTGAAGTGCAATAATATATATACATGCGTATTCTATTACTAGACTACTACAGCAACGTGACTGCTGAGCAGATGAACCTCCTGGAGAACTCCAGCACTAAGCTCGATATCAAGCTCCTGGAGGAAAAAACATGCAGTAAACAAATATGCAGAAAACGATATGTCAGGTATACAGGGGGACCTTTAAATAATTATACTTTATTTCAAGATAGTGACTTTAAAAAAAAAATTTCCTAAAAGTTAAACTTTTTGATGCATCAGAAGGTTTTCAATCTCAGATGAAACCTTATTCAATAGATTGAATGCAACATCCTATAGCTTAAAAATGCGGTTAGAAGCAACATAATTGCTGAGTCCTTTAGTGCTAAAAATCTGTATACTCGAAAGAATTAACTAACATATAACTGAAAATATGAGCCGAAGAGATTAATGTAAGATAACAAACTCTCTTAAAAATTAAAAAAAAAAATTTTGCTTCATTTTCATCATTTTTGTTTTATACAAAATAAGTTAGCTGTTTATCTGCTGTTCGCCGATTTCTATGCCATGATAACCTAGGATCCTTTTGGACCGATATTTTAACCCCCATTTTCTCAAGATTTGTTTGAAACCTGTTTTAAAATTAGCTCAGTCTATATTTTCCATTTACAAAAACATGTTAGGGGTATTTTAACCCTAAACTTGTCATGTGTGGACAAGAGTTGAAATATCCTGTACATGAAAATTGAATTTCCATCTTTGAAATTACCCAAAACCTTATAAAGGGCTCAGCACAGACTACACAGACTGCTCATACACTCTACCTGGATAGGCTGAGCAGGCCTATAGTGTCCCGGCACGCCATGCTACGGTTCCATGAAATGTTTTTTGACTGACATCTTACGGCCACTTGTTGCATTCAGGGGTTAAGTTTTACGACTTTTAAATTAAAGAAATACTTCAATGAATATTGTCTATTTTTAAAGACTTTGCATTTCCTATTCAAAGGATCCTTAAATATCCCTGAATACAGATATCTCCTGATTGGTCGTGTACAATACTTGTACACAATAGAACATACTGTGGAAAATATATAACATGTACAGTGTATTTACTGTGAAGGAAGGAGGTGGACATAGAGTACACTCAACCCAGACGAGATTGTGAAACAACAAAAGAAGAATTTATTAAGAAAATAAAAACCAAGGTTAGTTTACATTTTCTTGACAAGTTATCCTTCCTCCCCTGTTTGAAATCTGTTTTCCTCCAGAGATGAGAATTTAAAAGCTTAAACCCGAGTAAAACCAGGACTTTGCGTCTGCTTAGACCCAAGTAAAGCTCAAGCCAAGACCTGGGTTTTGAATGGCCTTGAGTTTAGTAAGAACCAACCGTCGTAGGTTTTTCTCTCTTTAAGACTCGAGTCTTCCGCAGCTGATGATCGTAAATTTCTTAAAAATATTTATATTTGTACATTTAAAATCTCGGGAATTATTTGTGGTGTCAAATATATTAAACAAACATACTATGAAAATAATTTATCTTCATAAAGTTTGAATTTTCGAAACTTACATCTCCTTGTCACAGCTGATCTGACGGCATTCTGTCTGCTACAGAGAGAAAGCTTGCTCAACAGTCTCTCATTGGTCGAATCAGAACCAATCCTGACTTGGGTTCTATCTAAGTCCGAGTTTAGGTTTTACAAGGGTTTAAGCTTTTAAAATCTCGTCGCAGGATTTTATGGGTATGGTTGCGCGGAGCGAAAATTTGAGGCTTTTCTTTGCTTAATTGGGGGAAAAAAATTAATTTTATGGGAAATTATTTAATTTTCTCTACAAATATATATTTGTTTCCGTGCAGCATATATTTTTATCTTCTACAGTGGTCGGCGTTTATATCAATACAATAAAGACGACTTTTCTATTTAAGTTTTACAATTCCAAGTTTACAAGTAAACACAAGAGAGCTAGCTGTTAATTGAAAGCTTCTCTTTATTTCCATGTTCTTTTGTATCGATGCTGTTTGAAAGCTTGGTAGAAATCAAACATTAAAAATGATAGTCGTCTTCATTTTATTGATAAATACGACAACGATAGTACATGGTTTATGATTTAAGGTCTAATGCATGTACATTGTACACATGTTGTTTCTAGTTGAAGTTGAGAAAGCTGTGCTGGGAAACCATGTTTGGTCAGGAGCTGGTTAAATTAACCGTTATGGATACTGTCTTCTTAGGAATACCTTTATTTTATCTCTTCTAAGCATCATTTTGAAGCAAGGAGGAAGGGGGGGGGGTAAGGTTTGCTTGCATTTTATTACATTAGGGCAGTTTAGAATTAGTATTAAAGGGAGAGACTGGCTAGGTAACGGAGTTGAGCTGAGACTGCAGTTATATTATATAGAAAACTTTTAGTTTTTAGAATGCAACGCAAGGATTTCTATAATGAGTCTTTATCAACATCTATTAATCTCTATAGGTGCAACAAACTGTTGTTTTGAATTAATCATGGCAGCCTTTTATCGAAGAAACATCAAAAATTCTGCAAACAATATCCTAACTTTTTTTACTATCTAAGATATTGGGAAAAAAAGAATAATTTTGTCCAAGCCGGTAGTCTTAATATTTCACCGTCATCCTCTCAGGATTCCTAATAATAAACGTTATGAAGTTTATGAGACAGAATAAAGGATGATTCAGTGGTTTCCATTTTCATCGGAGATTTTCTCAGATCCATCTTTCTCAGGTTTCATCTTACAAAATTTTTTTTATTAAAGATATTTCAGAGCAAAGGTGTACCCAGGAGGATCAGCCCCACTGGAACAGTAAAAGTTATGACCGATTTCTATGGGGTTTTCAGGCTCAAACAGGAGCTAAGCCCCCCCCCCCTGAACAAATTAATGTGTACGCCCCTCTGTCTTTTTTTCCATCTTTCTGCACATTTGGAGCTGATTCCTACTTCAATACTTCAATTATAAACTCATTCTAGTTATATTTGGCTCAGTTTCAATCTTCATAACTACACAGCTAAACACTTGTCATAATTACTTTTGTAATTAGTAGTAACATTTACTTAAAGTTACACATTCCACGACTTATACAAGGTTACCCACTAAGGATGAGACTTAAGAGGCGATTGTACAGAATTTGTTAAATCCGTTTTCTTGCATTCAGAGCTCCTTGCTGGCCAAAACTGGTTTATTTCTTTGCTTAAACATGTAATAAACCACCAACATACTCAATTGAATGCAGAAACCAAAAATAAAGCTTCAAATCGGCAAATTTGTGGAGTTTTAAGTCGTCTTCACAGTCTCATTCTTTAAGGATAACCCTGTACATTTGCCATAACTTTGTTTATTTTTGCAGAGTATAATAAACTAATAGTTTGCCCCACACTAGCTGCTCCAGCCGCGGGCCCCATTGGCCTTACTTAACCTTGGATAATTCAAATTATCCGTAATTAATAGTAATTACGCCAAATTCACCTGTTATTGCAAGTGAAATCATTATGGCAAGTGTAAAACTTCAAACTTATGGTAAACGTATGTTATATCCAGGGGGGGGCTGGATCTTAGCTACCTCTCCGTGTGTAATAGCCATAGAGAATAGAATATATAGAGAGGAATTTACTAGAAAAAAGTGTAAAACGGCCATTTTGTTGTACTGTTTCCATACTGCAGGTGTACTTCACATATTTTTGCTATATAACCTGTTGGGCCCTGGAATATCATTTTATAGAAAATCTAAAATTATTGTTAAAAGAAAACCAAATTATGAAACAGGCTGGTTTCATAATTGACCAATGATCATTTCACATAGACTCTATGCCTTCCACTTTACAAACGATGATTTTCCGTTATAACTATAAATCAAATTTGATTCACCTAATTCATTATGAAGTTTATTTAACAGCTTTAAAAATTTCGAAATTGAAATTAATAGTCTAGGGAACATACTGTATTAATGTACTCTACTGCATATAATTTGTGAACATTTACATGATTTGTACACTTTGAACTCCCTTTCAGGCTGAAAGGGACTGAAAAAATTCATACCGAGAGATTCTTTTCTGATAAAGGATTATGGCCTATTAATACAGTACAAATATCCAATATGCAGTACGCTTTCGGAGTACAAGTGTATTGGGGAGGATTTGTATCTTGAATTTTACTCAGTTTTCTCAGAACAGTTTATTAATGATAAAATATTGCTCTGTAAAAGACTGTAAATGTAAATCTTCCTGTGAAAATGGAATCCTGCACACGATAAAGGAGTACTGAATTTTAATAGTTACATGGAAAACAAATTCTTCATATAAATATTTTCAGAAATCACCCCCGAATACTGTAATATACAGATTGACCTTTGGAAGTGAAGTACATGGCCTGTACAATTAGTAAAGGATTAGTGTACATCATAACTCTATATACAATGACCTCGTCGGTCATAACCCGTGTTAATTATTTTAAGTAAACGTAATTATGATAAATGTATTATGACGAATGAAACTGAGACGTTTTGTCTATAATGACGCTAAAAAACCACCTCTGAGCCCAAAATTTAAAAGAGTATCGTTAAACGAACCTTCAGAGTTTCCTTATAAGGATCTGAACATTTTTGTAAACTTTTATTTAAGAGATTCGAAAAAAATGGAGAATATGAATAAACTAAATGAAATAGTATTCCATCACAAAAATATTGATATTCACAAAACTGCCTAACTCCATTCGTGAAACCGTGGTTCTAAAACTGGTTTCACAACGCGCGATACCCTATCTTAAGTTTTGGGCTCTGATGACGCGTTTTCTGTACACTATCCATTTGGGTTTGTGTAAGGTATCTTAAATATAACTGAAAATTGCCTTAAAGGGAGTGACCGGCTATGTAAGGTACTTGAATTGTGTAAAGCTTCTTTCTGATTCATTTGAGACATATTAAACTTTCTGAAGATCTGTAAATCCTGAGTTTGAGCTTAAATTCGACAAATTCGACTTTGGGGGTGGATTCGTTTTCAGAATTATTTTTTTTAAATTACTAAATCCCGACAACGAAAAATAAAGTAAAACTTATACAGTAATCTAATTAGATGGTTAGGAACATATTTCTCAAAAGAAATTTGCAAAATAAATCAATACTAAAATCGATTATTTCGTTTTCATTATTATATTGAATTTATTATTTTCTTTGAATTTATTCGCAGATTTTTTCAAATTCTTCAAATGTCGTCTTTTCTATAATAATTCTAGAAAATCTGCAGAAAATCTTTGTGAATAATGAGAACTAGAATAATGAGAAAATAGAAACTAATAATTGAATAAGATTACTTATTTTCGATGATAAGATTAATTTTTATTTTCTCAACATGTTCCTATACATATAACGTCTGTAGTTTATTGTAGAACTTTTTTCATTTTATGTCGTCGTTATTTAATAATTTAAAAAACTAATTATGAAAACGAATCCACCCTCAAAGTACGAGTTTTGTACGTCGAATTTGGACTCAAACTCAGGATTTACAGATCTTTAAAAAATGTAATATGTCTCAAATGAATCCGAAAGAAGTTTTCCACAAAACTGCATACTCAGTTCAACTACCTTACATAGCCGGTCACTTTAAATTACCTTAAATAATAAGGATATCCATTATTCTGAATTATAAACATTATGAAATACCTTTTATAAACCTTTTCCACATAGATCCAGACCAATATGAAATATTAAATCAATTTTCAAGACTGGGTTCACTCAAACGTCTTTGATTGTATAACAATCTTATCATACATATGCATAGTAGAAGTAGGAACTTATAAATGAGATAGCGATAACCTACAAAGACTAAACTCTGTATCCTCCAGGATCATGAACTTGTGCTGGTTCTGGGACCTGGAGAAGGTATTCCCTGGATATCCACAGTTTGATGTGGCAGAGAACATTCTTCATCTAGGAACCATAGATCAACCTAAACTTGGAGATTAGGGATGGGGATTGTATTTTGTTCATTTTTAAACAAAGATTTTTTTACTTCTAAGAACCTCTTATAAGCATATTTCGAACATTTGAATTTGAGAAGGTAAATCAAAACTTCTAAAGTTTGCCAGTTTTTTTTTTAAGTTGGCGATTTTTTTGTCAAATTTATATTTCATCATAAATTTTAGGAGTAGTGTAAATACAATCTGTTTAAACGTATTCAATGTTTTCTATTCGTACTTGGGGATATTTACTACAACAAAGATGTATTCCAATTATTGCAAAAATATCAAAATATCAAATGCCAAATGATCAAATGCCTAATTTAATACTTGATATTACGTCTGTAGCCTCTTCAGGTATCATTGCAGAATGAGATAATAAGAGGAAGTATCTAAATATTTGCTTTGATTCGAAAAGACAATAATGTTAAAATAACTGAACATACTATTATAGAACTCTCTATCTGCATAAATATTAGGTAGATCATGTTCTGTTTAGTGAACAACCAAGGAATGATCTGGATGGGACTGTTCATGGCACCAGGTGATCATAAATATTTTTTAAAGGGACTGTCAACGTATTTTCGAGTGACCTGAGCTGAAAACTTCAGAAATTTGGATATCGAGATCAGCGCTTGATCTCCACTTTTGAATTCTTCTGAAGTCAAATTTTATCTTACGTTTATAACCAGAAAATTATCTAAACTGCAATCAACCAGGTGCCGATTGTAGAAACTGAACAGCCAATCAGAAGCCGAGAAATTTCAATGTTTTGGCGCGCCTGCAATCAATCAAAGCATTTTTATTGGTTCGAAAACATCAGAGATAACGAGCTTTCATCTCAGAATGGTTAATATCTTTACTCTATTAATAAACAACCCATGGTTTCCACAGAGAAGCTAAAAATTGACTGATATTTGTCCCATTTAAATTTTTAATAGAAATTTAATGAAAAGCTCAAAATATTTCACTGCTGTGAATCGATGATGAATTGATATTGATCTATGTAAAGTAAAAATCCCTGAAACTGAAATTTCTCAGATCTTCCTTAACCAATTTGCCTCAAATTTTGACCTGTAAAATAGTTAGAAACTCGGGAATGTTGCTGGCTTGGTTTAAAAATTCTAAATTGAGTAAGTTGACTTTTACAGAGAAAGTCTAGTTTCCAGGCAAAGCTAGGTTTCCAAAATATGATTTCATTTTAAGGTTTACCGTTGATAAACCTGGTAAAACTGTTTATCATCATGTATGTGAAAAGTATGTCTGTTATGGTAACTAATGCTCCGCATGAAACGGTGTTTAAAGCCTCCAGGTAAGTCAAAACCTCAGATATCTATAGATTATTTTGATGTTTGGAAACAGGGTGAGAAAATAAAATTAACTTTTATCAACAAGAATAAGTAATCTTATTGAGTTATCGATTTCTGTAATGTTTGATTGTTTGCAAACGTTTTCCGTAGATTTATTTCCTGGAATTTGTATTGAAAAGTTAACATTTGAAGAATTTGAAGAAATGTACAGACAAATTTATAAAGATGATAAGGAAATAATTGATTCTACCATTAATTTATTTTCAGATATACTTTCCTAAACAACAAGTAGCATTTTTGTTACATTTTTCAATCCTGCACTCTCCGTTCAAATTTGTTACCTCGCCAGTCTCTCCCTTTAAATTGATTTTCCCCTATTCTAGGTCTAACAACTTCTACCTGGTGTTGTTGTTGTTAATGTTGTTTCTGTGTACCCTGCCCGTAGCATTCACCTTGGTGTGGATTAAACCAAGCTGGCACTGTGGACCCTTCAGCCAATTTCATAGAATATATAAGGTGGGACACAAACATAGAATATATAAGGTGGGACACAAACATAGAATATCTAAGGTGGGACACAAACATAGAATATATAAGGTGGGGCACAAACATAGAATATATAAGATGGGACACAAACATAGAATATATAAGGTGGGACACAAACATAGAATATATATATAAGGTGGGACACAACCATAGAATATATCTGGTGGGACACAAACATAGAATATATCTGGTGGGACACAAACATAGAATATATAATGTAATGTTATATATGACAAGTTACCGATACTTACATTAAAATATTGTCTACTTGTGATATATTGCGGCAATTGACAACTGACAATCAAAGGATCCCAAAAACTGTCTCTAAATATTCAATATGTTTGTCAAGATATTAGCAGCCTTAAAAAATTTTAAGTCATGCTGGCCACCATTTTCTGTTGTACGTTTGCAATAAAAATATTCAACATTAAAGACAAACTTTAAGTGGACTTTCAACTATGTATACATGTAGAAGAGAGGATAACCGTGTTACAGGTTGAAACATATATTTTAGTCTTTTTTGATCTTGGTTTCTGAATTCTCTCACATGAGCAATTTTGAATCGACTTTTAAAAATAGTTTCTCATTTTTTGGGTTTAAGACGAAAACTTAATTGTAATTCTGACATTTTAGGTATTTACAGTTCGAGTTCTAGAAATACTTCCGGTAAAACTACATCCGGTTCTAGATTATATAACCTCTCCAGGTACTGTGTTCACAATAGATCTTGGGAAGTTGGGAGTTTTCACCACTAGAGATCAAAAATTTTCTCCAGGTGGAAAAACTGAGTTTATCTCAGTATCTCTCCGTCAATTCAAAAGTTTCCAGTTGATCTGAGTCAACCGAAGCCAAAGATTTATAAGTCAAAGTTTTGCCCTCTAGTTAGACCTAATTAGACAACTTTAAAATTCATGTAATTGTGTTTTAAACTCCGAATTTAGACATAAGATTTTAATAAATTTATTTGTAAGGTATAATAATCCCGACTCTGGTGCTTTGTATTCTAACAATCTGGTATCTGATCACACTATCCAAGATGTTGAGGTATTGTATTCTAACAATCTGGTATCTGATCACACTATCCAAGATGTTGAGGTATTGTATTCTAACAATCTGGTATCTGATCACACTATCCAAGATGTTGAGGTATTGTATTCTAACAATCTGGTATCTGATCACACTATCCAAGATGTTAAGGTATTGTATTCTAACAATCTGGTATCTTATCACACTATCCAAGATGTTAAGGTATTGTATTCTAACAATCTGGTATCTTATCACACTATCCAAGATGTTGAGGTATTGTATTCTGACAATCTGGTATCTGATCACACTATCCAAAATGTTAAGGTATTGTATTCTAACAATCTGGTATCTTATCACACTATCCAAGATGTTGAGGTATTGTATTCTGACAATCTAGTATCTGATCACACTATCCAAGATGTTAAGGTATTGAATTCTAACAATCTGGTATCTTATCACACTATCCAAGATGTTGAGGTATTCTGACAATCTAGTATCTGATCACACTATCCAAGATGTTAAGGTATTGAATTCTAACAATCTGGTATCTTATCACACTATCCAAGATGTTGAGGAATTACAACAGTAATATACAGGGTTATCCACAAAGAACTAGATTTCAAAGATGACTGTAAAGAATTTATCTAGGCCTTGGTCTTACATTCTTCATTCCCTTCAACTGTAAACTTGTTTCTTTTTTTGCTAAATCATTAAGTAAAAAAAGAAAAAATTTATTGTGATTTATGTGACACATGGTTTCATATCCATTTTTCAAGGGCTTTTAAAAATGTAAATTCGAGATAGTTATTGCAACTTTTTTAACATATTTTGTATCACTGACCGGCCTATTGACCATCCTGTAAATCACCCTATGCATTAAAAAAAGATTTTTTTATTTTTCCAAAAAAATACTTTTTCTTAAAGTGAAAGTGTCAAAAATGAGAGTAGTTGTTTACTATAAAAAGCAAAAGCAGAAACCAAAATTCAGCTCTAAGATCGTTTTATTTTAGAGTTTAAGGTTTAAGGAGTTGAACGATACCTAGACATCTATCTGATGTCTCGAGAAATTGACATAAACTTGTGTCAAAATTATACCAAAACGTATTTATGTCAGATATACGTCCGTATCATGTGACCAGAACTCCCTCCAATGGCAGTGGTCACGTGATACAGACGGAGACACGTGACAAAAATACTGCCATTGGTTGGAGTTCTGGTGACATGTTCCGGACGCATAAATAATATTATCAATTATATCTATTAAAAATGAAAAAGTTATTAAATTCAAATAATAATAGGAGCAAACTTGCGTTTCTCAGACTCCTCCATGAGATATCGTTGCGTATTTGTTGAATATGATCTGTTTAATGCTACAACTTTTATACAAAATTGCATATATATGAATTTCTCGAGACAGTAACATCAGATAGATGTCTTTTATGTATCTTTCTGCGCCTGAGATTGTCAGGTTTCATTCTATACCCCCTTTCATTTTTCCTTTACAGTCTCTTTAAGGTTGTCATTGAAGTCTAAATCGTTCTGTGTAACCCTGGAATAATGCAGAATGAAAGTCTTAATCTAATCTTTTTATACCAAGAAACGTTGCTAAAGAATTGTAATTTAATTTACCGGTTTCTTAGAATATATGGTCTTTGAGTTTTTTATAGATATTCAGGGATAGCTAAGTAACAGAGAGAGCAATGATGCCATAGAGAAAGACGACTTTTAAACCAAAATTATGACTTTAGATAGTCCAATAAGCCCGGGGAACAGAAATTGTTCAGTTTAGACCAGGGAGTAAGGAATAGAAGGGAGATATAACTGACGCGGTTCGCCCTACCATATGATTATACATGCTTTGCAGACGGTACTCCATTTGTATAAAAATATTCAGAATAGGTTATTGTATATACGCGGTAATTGTACATCAGACAAATACTTCATATACAAATGGAGTACTCGTCTGCAAAGCATGTATAATCAATCATATGGTAGGGCGAACCGCGTCAGTTATATCTCCCTTCTATTCCTTACTTCCTGGTTTAAACAGACCCATTTTACTTGATTTGTGATTTAATAAGTGTCTAGTAAAACTATTTGCTTTATAACAACATCAAATACACTAACGTATTGCTATAAAGTCGTCTTCCTATTTTGGAGTTTAATGGTTATGACTGTATGTTTAACAAAAAATGTCAAATCTTAAAGTGAGCAAAGCATTATTCTTTGAAAGTTGTCAATATTATTTACTAACCCATCTTCATGAATTGTGGTTTTCAGACATGTGAAATGGCTGAAAAAGAAATCGGTCATGTTAATTTTGACCTTACTTTTGTGCGTTCAAATTTAAACCATACTGTCATACAATTTGTTAACAAAAAATTTATTGAATAATATTTTGGCAAAGTCCATTTTACTTGATAAGTTAATTTGCAAACTACTGATACAAATGTTGCTTGATACAACAATAAATACACATAAGATTGCATAAATATCGTCTTCCGATTCTACAGATTTAAGGGTTTAGCCATATTAATAAATCCCAAACTAGAGAGAGTAATGACGACCTCAAGAACCAACTTCATCTAGAGAGAACAGAGGAGAGAAGGAAACTAACTGCTGCTGTTAACGTAAGAACAAAAATAATTTTACTCAGTTTTATTTATTGAATTATTTTTTTTCATTTTTATTCTTATTTTTTTCATAACGTACTTTTAACATCCCTATGAAAAGTTTGATTGAGTACAGAAATTCAGTTTAAAGAGTTTTTTAGAGTTTCAGATCAAGGTAAATTTCAAAATTTCAAGAGTTTTAAAGAGTTTCAGATCAAGGTAAATTTCAAGAGTTTGAAGAGCTTAGATCAAAATCAATTTCAAGAGTTTTAAAGAGTTTTAGATCAAGGTAAATTTCAAGAGTTTTAAAGAGTTTCAGATCAAAATCAATTTCAAGAGTTTTAAAGAGTTTCAGAGCAAGGTGAATTTTAAGAGTTTAAAAGAGTTTCAGATTGTCAAAATTAAAGAAATTCTTCAAAAATACATATTTTATTTTTCTAATTAAATTGTGAACATAAAGCAAAAACAAACAAAATTTCGTGGATTTTCAAAGTTTTCAAAAAGCGAATTTTGTTAGAGGCAAAATTTGAAAATTCGATCATCCATTAGCCTTCCCTGGGGTCACACGATGTCCCACACAAAATTTGGGCCCGATCAGTTCAGCCGTTTTGACGTTTTATGGATGACAGACAAACAAAGAAACAGACAGACAAGAAAGTATAAATATATAGATTCAGAAACTATGTTCCCACATTTATATTCAACTAATAACAAATATTAAGTTTCTCTATTTTAGAAGAAAGGCAAGGAATCTGTAAACTCCGAGCAGGGTGGAGTATCGGAAAGGTACATCTAACATGTGTTACATCTATCTCTTTACATTTCAGAATAGTTTTAGGTTTTAGGTTTAATATAGGATGATATATCCTTGTACCGGCCCGTCAGGCGTATCCTTGTACCTGCCCGTCTAACATATCCTTTTATTAGCCAATCTAGCTTATCCTTGTACCAGCCCATCTAGCCTATCCTTGTTCCAGCCCGTCTAAAAATTTCTTGAACCAGCCCGTCTATTGTATCCTTGTACCAGTCAAGGAGTATGAAATAGAAGGGGGAGATACAACTGACGCGGCACGCCCTACCAGATGAGTATCTGCTTTGCAGACAGTACTTCATTTGAATAAGAAATATTTTTCTGATGTACAGTACAGAGCGTCCCATGTCATATTAGATTATCTCCAAGCTTAAACGCCCAAATACAACAATAATACTCAAAAAAACTAGTATTTTTGGCAAGAAAACTCTTATATTAGCCTTATGAAAATGTTCAAAATAATTCATTCTTCTTAAATTTTCTGATTAGTCCCGAAAATCGAAATTTAGACCGACTGACGATCTAATATGATGTGGGACACCCTGTACAATTACCGCGTATACAATAACCTATTCTGAATATTTCTCATACAAATGGAGTACCCGTCTGAAAGCATGCATAATCATATGCTGTGGATAGAAAATAATCAAAGCATTACATTTCGTGGCCTAAGAGGTTGCGCAGTTGTAATGCAGTTTAAACCAGAACTTCGGAGGCATTCAACGAATTTAAAAAATGTCGTCTTGACAATTTTTCAATGGGTTTTATACTATTAGACCTAAATATCAGAAATTGTAAAAATAAAGAAATAGCCATGCAATGTGCGGGAACAGTTTTAAATAGCAAATATAATTATTTAATTAAAAAACTAAATATCTGCAGCAATCCTTTTTTAGTAAATTTAGAAGACAACTTTATACCTTCGCTTGATTTCTCCGAAGTTTTGGGTTAGTGCAGGGCTGGGAGAGAGATAGGGGTCTGGTTTTCTGTTGTTAATAAATATTTGTGTTGTAGATGGAAAAGTATCCTGAGTGCTGCAGTATCAAGATCAACTTCACAAACGGAGAAATCTGAACCTGGAGATACTGAGATTATCAAGGCCGGTATCCTCAGCTCCGACCAGAACCTGGATAAGGTTGGGAAGCAACCAGAACCCAGAGATTCAGATGAATTAGCACCCAAAGATTCTAAACCTATCCCGGTTAATCTTTACAATGAAAATAGTCCAAAATTGGTCAAAAAAGGTAAAAAAAATGATAGCGAAGCCTAGATCCACGCATTTATACTTAAGTAGCGGAGTACCAGGGGGGGGGGGG